GATAAATTTGGCATAGTGAAAACTATCATAAAAGATAAATAAGTTAGAGAAATAATTATATTAATAAATAATTAATGAAAACAAAACGATTAAGGGAAAAAGAAACGGAAATAGAGCTATATCATGTAAACAATCTACTATTTCATTTTATTCTGGCCATAAAGTAGAAACTACATGTTGTTTCATTTTACTTTATATAATTGATATATATGTGTTAATAGAATTGAACGTGACTAACATTATTTCTATGTTCCAATTCAATAAATACAAAGTAATTAAACTAATGTAAAATTATTACTTGTCAATTCATTTCTCACCGTTCTTCAAAATGCCTTAAAGATATATTTTGATCCGGGAAGTTCATGAATATTATAAGTATGTCATTAGTGGGTAGCTAGTTTGATGACTTTGAGGTCATCTAAGAGTTGAGCACTGAAGGAAATACTTATTTTATCACTGCAATATACTTAAACTATTTAAGATGCCCAAGAGCACAAGTAATCTGCATGATATGTACTGTCATAAATAAAATGAATATAATGATACATACCTTAATAAAATATGACTCAACTTAGCAGGGGTTAAGAATAAAATTAGAGTTTCGTGCTGATAATGTGTTACAAAATAAAAGTAACTTAGTAAAATGTAAATAAGAAACAGAGATAGGAAGAAGGAGTATTTAATTTCTTTTGGTGTGTCCTTACACTGCCATTTTCATAGCCTTTTATAGGCATAAAAGGTAAAGACTACTATAGTAAAATAATGTAAGAGATGCACATAAAGTGAAAATCCATCCACAAACAATTCATACATGGTCATCCACATACTATTTACAACAATAAAGCATTATTCTACTGTTTTTACAAGTGGCAAAAGAAGATGCAACACCAATAATAGATATATCTATAAACAAAGATTTCGAAAAATTAATCTCGTGATTAGACTGCACCTATAATACAGGGGAGCCTCGTTTCCATTTTACTTCAATACTTGAATTTATTAAGGAAGGAAAATAATCAGTTTTTGAGATATCATGGTTACTCCAAATATTTTATACAATTGTGAATTGATAGCAAAATCATAAGCTGATCTAGGTGTTTATTAAGTGCGGAGTGCAAAACCAATATTCGATAACTAAACATATTGAAAATTAGTGGAAATGATACCAAGTAGCCACTCTAACGGGCTGCTATTTAGGAATTAACCAGTGCATTTTAAATTTCAATTTTTTAATTTAATTTTCAGGACAAAAATATCCTAAATTATTCTAAAGTTAAGATTTTTAGTTTAAAATATCAAACAAAATAAATACTGTACTGGCCAACCTCTAATTAGCTTATCTCATCATGGCTATTTGTACACTTGCCTCTCAAAATTATCGTAGTTTCACTTTCGTATAATTACATTTCTAAACTAAAATATTTCTTTCCTTTTGGAATCAGTACATAAGATTTTTGACTTATTGTAACACCCCGAACAATTTCGAAATGTTTTAAGACCATTAAGAAGATTGACATGTGCTAATTATATTAATTCGGGTATGAACAGGACTAATAATATGAAGCACATCAATTGATCATGATAATATATGTATGATGTGCATTAAGAATGGTCTATGGTCGAAGAAGAGCCCTAAGACTAAGTCAAGTTGAAAATTATATAATGGGGTAAAGTTTCAAGTGAGTTCGCACAAGACTTAATTTCAACGAGCATAAATCTCAAGATATAAAAATTTATATCGTCTATGACCTAGCAAATAAAAGGTCTACGTGTCTAGTTTCTAATGCCTTAAACCGTTCATCATTTGGAGGCTCCTACAAAGAGTTATGACCTTTTCACTAAAGGGTAGTAGAATAACTACGCGACTCTTGCGTAGCCTACGCATCATTGTAGCGTAGCCTACGCACTATGCGTAGGCAAATCCAGCAGCTTGCCAATTGAAGAGAAATGGAAGGCCACCTTGCGTAGCCTATGCAGCGGGCTCCTCACCCATAAGACCCTTTTTTAAAGTGTAGAAATAAGGGGTTGAGAGAGAGAGAAAGAGTTAGTTCTTCAATGTGGAATTGATTTTTCGAGGGAAGGATGAGCTCTTCTACCGTGGATACACTTCAAGGTAAATTATTTTGGTACAAGAATGATTATATAGCATCATTTAGTGATAACACTAACATTATTATGGATCAAATTCATAGGAAATGGGTTGAATCTTCAAGAATACCACAAAGAGAAAAAGCGAGATTCTTCCACCAAGAGGTAATCCTTTCACTTGAGCTTCATATTGGAGTATAAGCTGCCTGTTTATGAGTTTTATTTGAAGTTGTAATGGGATATTTTATGAACCCTAAGGGTGGGTCTTGAGAATAATATTTTGGGTAAAGAAGAAGATGTATAGTGATGAATTAATTTAAATGGAATTGTTTTGAGTTTCGAATGATATCAATATACTTGATAACTTAATTGATGAACGAACTGCATCTGGAATCACCATTTGGATGAGATACAACACTAGTTCTTGAACCTAGGTGTTTTGTTGGAGAAGATGATGAATGGTGACTTGATGATGCTGGTTAATTAATGTAGTATTATTAATGACTCCAAATGAGTATTAAATGATAAGAATGGAATTGAATAGGCCAATGGGTGAACCTATTGGATAATTTGGGATGGTTGAAGGCTTATTGCCGAGTTGTGAAGCCTAAATGGACATTTACGAATCATTTCGTAATTGTTTTGATGTAGTTTGGATATCTAATGGTAGATATTGAATTGTTGGAAATATTTGGGCATTTTAATCAATTGAGGCGGTGTAGTATTATTTAGAGTTTGAAGGTTAAGGTAAGTTGATTAAGACTTACTCTTCTTGAGGAATTCTCTTTAAAAACATGTCTTGAGTTGATACATAATACACTGTATTATTTGTAAATGTGCGTACGTACTTGTGGGGACAAGCGAGAAAGATGTCACCATGTGTTTCTAAATTGTTGCTTATGTAGTATCGTGTAATTTTATAAAATTCTTGTTTTCAAAACTTGTTGGCAAAATGACACTTTAAGAAAAAATAAGTCTTATTAAAACTTATGTTTAAAAGAGTATAAAATGCTTGAGTGCTAAAGATATATTTTCATGAAAAAGTCTATCTTTTGAAAATTCAACAGAGGAAGCACTTGTTGTATCTTTAGATTGATGTTAATTGCTAAAGGTTTTAACATGGAAAAGGTTATTCATTTTATTTTTTCAAATGGTTTGTCTTGGCTATGAAAATCATAATTTGATAAAAATAGATTATTTGAGGCAAATATGCTATGAATCTATTTTTGATATGTCAAATATTTTGGGAGTTACTAGTGGAGACCACCGAGATTGGTTCGAATGTTGAGTTCATTACCGTGAAATTACACGTGTCGGTGTAGGAAAATATTCCAAAGCGAAGCTGAGGTTTGTGGGATAAAGTCCCCCATTGAGAGAAAAAATGATCGTTACTTAAAGTAATGAGGTTAAATCGACTCGTACGGCGTTACGGGAAGCCGCCCAGACAAGTATGGTCAAATACTTGTTGCTAGGTTGATCGCCTAGTAGGGTTCGTTATGTCAGTGTCGGTATAGTACTCCCGATGAAAGGTAAAAGAGAACTTTCTTATGTTTAGGCCTAACGAACCGAAAGTGATTTCAATGACTTGATGAGATTGAAATGGATTTATATGATTTCTAATAAAATTTTGGGTTGATTGAGACGTTCTAAAATATTGTAGCATGGATTACATTTCATTTGTCTTTTTATTTAAAATGATAAAGATCATGATTTTATATAACTGTTTATCACTTTATGTCAAATATTGGTTGCATAATTTTTTCAAAATCTCGTCCGAGAAACTTGAGTTAGAGAGAGTCTATGACACTTGCTGAGTACCACAGTAATGTACTCTGCCCTGAGGGCCCCCCCTCCAAGATCCCACTTACTTTACATGTTTCTGGATGCGGTATAATACGCGAACGCTAACAGGTTTAGGATGACTCTCTTTCCGAGATATGTGGTGAGGCACCACTCCTATTTCGTGGTAGCTATCATGTTGTTTTCTTAATTTATGTTAGTCGGGCATTAGCGCTAATGTTTAATTATATTCTTTAATATATAGGCTCCATAGATAGTTGTAAAAAGTTGTAGTAATGGGGTTGTACACGACATACATGAAAAAATATTTAATTTACTTAGTCTCATTGTTATGATTATGAGAGGCTTCATGTATTATTGAACTGGAAAAATATTTTATCATTTAACTTGAAAATATATATATATATATATATATATATATATATATATATATATATATATATATATTTTTTTTTTTTTCAATTATATATATATATTTTTTTCAAAGAGCATCCTTAATTATATTGGTTTTCATGCATATTGTTTGGGTGCATCATATGAATTGGTTCGCTCGGGTCAAATAGTGTACCGGTCACGTGGATTTGGATCGTGACACTTATCCCAACAACTATAGCCATAAACAAAGCTATTGTATTCATCTATTTAGCAATGTCTAGGAGAATGGTCATAGCTTCAACTAAACATTATTTGCAAATTAACTAGATGTGGAACACTATTCAGTATGTAAATTTGGAGTGTGAGGATGATTTTGCAACTTTGCATATAACACTGGGGAACTCTCAATTTACCTTTTGAAAGAGTCTTAAAAATCAACCAAAAGCTAAATAATAGGAGGCCAGTGCCACGCAACAAAAGCTCTTGGTTGGGCAGAACAGGAGGACAGTGTCACGCAACAATGGAAAAATTTGCCTCGTCTTTGTTGCATTAACAGCTGAAGGTTTCAACAAAGAGTTCAATGGGTTCTGACAAACATTAACAGCTGAAGGACAGTTTATGAAGTTCAACTGCCAATTACCACCATTCCAGAGGGCACTCAGTGATAAATCATATAGGCATGAGCAAACAGCGATACTGCAATACCTATTGGGTCTTTGTAATGCAAAACATGAGGATAACAACACAAAACAACTATCTCAATATATAAAATAAAAGAGAAACACTATTACAACTATATCTTGAATAGAAATAGCTCCGTACTAACAAATGTGTGTTAATACTCAAAACAAATATCCAAAAGCTAAGGAAAATATTCAGATTGAAATAGAGTTCAGAGACTTAAGAGGCTACAGCAGCACCCTTCTTCCTTGGGGTTGCCTCGGTACCTGAAGGACGCAAAGGAAGAAAGAGATCAATAACACAAGATACACGCAAGTATGTAAGCACCATAAGTTTCTAGTAAAGATAATGCAGTACTGAAATGAATTACCTTCTCTGAAGTTAGTCTTGAACCTGCGGGGCACATTGCGGAGATACCTCATGCGACCAGTTCCAGTGGTCTTTCTTCTAAGTGCCTTGACGCTCCAGTTATCTGCACAGACAGTTACAAATCAGCAAACACTAAATCAAGTAACTTCCAGAGACATCATACAGCTGAAAACCTAAAACTTATGGTCGCAATAGCTACAAAGGATAACAAGAACATTAAGTAATCTTGCATGTAGGTCAAAATACTAAGAGATTAAGCATGGGAAATCTTTGATATATCAGTATTTCACCAGGAACCATCTCCTAGCCAAGCCCCTGACTACACATGCCATACATAGCAATAGTTAGATACCTCTGCCTACTGAGTACACATGCCATACACAGCAATTACTGCTCTATCTTACATTTTTGTGACAAGATTCTGTTTTTCTATATCAAAAGCAACTGAACTTTGCAAACTTCACCTTGGACCAAGCCAACAATACGACTCGTACAAACTATTAACAAATAATGCATCAATTTAAGTCCGTTAATAAAATAGCTCCATAATCCAAATATCCACAACAATATCTCAATAATCCAAATATACATAAAAATAACTCCTTTTCCAAATATAAATTAAATCAGCCACTTAGTTAAAATAATCCATAAAAATAGCTCCTTAATCCAAATTTCCACAAAAAATAGCTCCGTAATCCAAACTCTCCATTAAGACAACTCCTTAATCAACATACTCGTAAAAATTCTAACAATAATTCAATCAGTATACAAATGAGCGCTGCCACTAAAGTTCTTACAATTTATTAAAAAAAATACATCAATTCAATTCGACAGAAATAGCTCCTTAATCCATATGTACATAACAATATCTCCATAATCCAAATATCCATAAACATAGCTCCTTAGTGCTCTTAGTCTAACTACAAATTAAATCAGCTCCTAAATCCAAAAGACCCACAAGACTACCTCCTTAATCCAACTCTCCATAGATATAGCTCCTCATTGAAACTCATAATAATTCTGAACTAGTGCACAAATGAGCACAGCTATATTCTTTTTTTTTGGAGATGGTAACATATTAAATGAGCACTAATATATTCTTACAAATTTTTAACAGAATTGCATTACATATTTAAGTCCTTTAGTGACAAAAATAGCTCCACAACCCAAATTTCCTAACAGTATCTCCATAATCCAAATATCTATAACAATAGCTCCTTGATCCAAAAATAAATAAATTTAGCCCCTTTATCCAAATATCTATAAAAATAGCTCTTTAATCCATATATCAATAACAATAGCAACTTACTCCAAATATAAGTAACATCATCTCCTCACATAAATAGCTCCTTAGTCCAATCCAAATCAGTGTTATCAAAGGCGAAAAGTGCAAAAAAGCTCTAAGGTCCGTTGGGGCTTTAAGCGAAAAGCGCAAATAAAGCGTGGGCTTTAATGAAAAAAAGGCGCAACGGGAGAAAAAGTAAAAATATGCATAGTAGTCCAAGACTAATCATTATAAGCATGAATAACAAATATTTGGACAAAGAAATTGAGAAAAAAAAATCATGATAAAGTGAAATATCAATTGTTTAAGGTCGCCTTTTCAGGATTATTGGCAAGGAAAGTATGCGTTAGAGCTTTGATGTGACACTAAAGCGCCCACAAAGCGAGACGAAGCGCTCAACGTGTTTTGAGCCTCGCTTCAGGGCTTAAGCGCGCCTTTGACAATACTGATCCAAATATATATTAAATCAGCTCCTTAGTCAAAAAATCCACAAAATTAGCTCCTTAATCCAAATCTTCAAATAAATAGCTACATAATCCGAATATCCATAAAAATCAAACAAAAAAAACAATCAGCGCACAAATGAGCAGCAAATATAAAAATACATACATTTTCTGAGGCGAGCAGCAGGGTAGGCACAAGCGGAGCAGCGGCTCTTCTGGATGTGAAAGCTGCGACGCCCACACCTCACACATAGTGTGTGTGTCTTGTTCCTCCTCTTCCCAAAACTCCCCGTTCCTTTTCCCTATTATTATTCAACAATATACACACAATGTTAGTGAATAATTACATACGCGCACAGTATACTTCAAATGAAAAAGTCGTAGTACCATTTCTGCGGCGGAGGCGGAGGCGGAAGAACCCTAATAATGTACGGCGGTGGAGGCTTCTCTTCAGCTGGGAAAAAGTTGAACTTTGGTAACGCTTATGGAATTTATATTCAGTGGCTTAAAGGGGAAATAGGGTTTTTCCGGATGGGCGTCTTTGTTGGGTTTAAATTGGATCGTTGTAAGAAGTGTGGGCTCTGTCCCCTGTTGTTGGGCCGTAAAATATGTTACTGGGCCCTAATTAGAATCCAACCTAAAAGAGCAAACTTCATTTATGGCCATTCGTTAGAAACTAATATCAGCCGCTAGCCACAAATTGCAATATGCATTTTATAGCCCAAATTGAGTTATAACGGCTAGCCACCGAATTATACATCTGACCCACAAGCACAAACACAGATTCATTGGAGAAAGAGATGATTTTTTGGCCCAAAATGGTTTAGCTGGAAAACTTCACCGAAAATTTCACGGTCGCCGGAATTCAAATAGCAAGCAAACCATCTTTTAGATCTAGATTTTCATACTATCAAAAGCCCCAAAAGCAATAAATAAAACGGGAAGAAAGAGTCGACGGATTTAATGGAGGGTCGCCGATGTTTGAGTTTCCATCCAGATCTAAAGCCAACGAGATCGAGCACAGTGAGTTAGACTGACCGGGTTTTAATTTTGATTTCATGAACGGTGGTGAGGTCGAAGCTGGAACCTGGGCACCATTAATATTAATACTACAACGGCTGAGATTTGACAAATCTTGTATTCAATTTTGAAACCTTCCATTTTACCATGGAGGTCAACATTATCTTTTCTGATCGTCATTTCCTCTTTGTAATCTGTTTTAGAGGGTTGGCTCCCATTTGGCCCCCAAGTATCAATTACTCTCCCTATCCTCTGTTGCAACTCGTGCATATCAAATATGAATATTTTATCAATCTCTTTTTTGGACCAACTTTTTCATACAAAATTGTATATGAGGCTAATATTTAAAGGTCATTTTAGATTATGTATTAGACTGGAGAGCATTTCTTTTGAATACTGGTAACAATATATCTATCTATCTATCTATCTATCTATCTATCTATCTATATATATATATATATATATATATATATATATATATATATATATATATATTCATGAAATTTTCTTTCCTTCTCGCATCTAATATTGCTTATCACGCTTAAAATATGAAAGGAGGTGTGTGATTTTTTGGGAGAAAGAACCTTATTTCTTTGGGTTTTAAATTTTTATATGTGTTTCGCTAGTTTTGGTAAATATATGATTAATGGCTAGAGGTTGGTAAGTTAGGACATTTCTCTAAGATTCCCGTTAATAAATTACGTCGCTTGTCCAATATGCGACCTGTTTAAACTTAGTACGACGCTCGTTCGGAATGCGACCTGTTTAAACTTAGTACGACGCTCGTCCGGAATGCGACCTATTGAAACATTAAGAAGAATATACTAACGGAGTAGGTCGCTCGTACAAAACACGTAGTTGCAACTTAAAATCATTCTTGGTACAAAGAAACATCCCATCTTATATAATTGAAAGAGGAAAGTACCCATTTAAGACTTCTAAAGCAAAAATACTATTAAAGTTTTAGGCGATTCGGAGCCCGTTACGCGAAAGCATGAAGATAGCATCAATATTAGTACACAAAAAATTGAAAAACATCCCGAATTCCTGCTTTATGACTCTAACATGCTAGAAAACGAAGAACGGTAGTGGCGAAGCAGTGACTGTTGTTCATTATGTTATTTCTGATGAGCCCAGTAAATTTTAGGCGATTCGGAGCCCGTTGCAAGAATTCACGAATATGTCGTGGACTTTAGCACACGAAAATTTTGAAAAACGTCTTGAATTCATGTTATGGCCTTAAACACCAAAAAACGAGGAACGATCATAGCGAAGAAATGATAATTGTTCATCATATCATTTCTGATGGACCCACAAAATTTTAGGCGACTGGGAGCCCGTCGCCCGAATTCATAATGATGGCGTGGACAATGCACACAAAAAATTAGAAAACGTCCTGAATTCCTATCTTACGGCCCTAAAACTCCGAAAAATGAGGAACGGTAATGGCGAAGTTATGACAATTGTTCATTATTTTATTTTTGATGGAACCACAAAATTTTTAGTGATTTGAAACCCGTCGCCCGAATTCATGAAGATGGCATGAACATTAGCATACGAAAAATTAGAAAACATCATGAATTCCTATTTTATGGCCCTAAAAAGCCAAAAAACGATGAACGATAATGGCGAAGCAATGACTATTGTTCATTATATTATTTCTGATGCGCGACAAAAATTATAGGCGGTTCGGAGCTGGTCGCCTAGTTCTAGATGGAGTGGATATTAGCACACGAAAAAATGAAAAACATCCTGAATTCCTGTTTTATGGCCCTAAAATGCCAAAAAAGAGGAACGACAATGGTGAAGCAATAACCATTGTTCACTATGTCGCTTTTGATGGGCCCACAAAATTTAGGCGATTCGGAGCTCGTCGCCCGAATTCATGAAGATGACGTGGACAATAGTACACGAAAATGGAAAACATCTTAAATTATTGTTTATGGCCCTAAAATGCTAACAATTAAGGAATGTTCATGGAGAAGATATGACTATTGTTCATTACTCCCTCCGTTCGAATTTATGTGAACCTGTTTGACCGAGCACGGAGTTTAAGAAAAAATAAAGACTTTAGAATTTTGTGGTCCTAAAAAGGGGCCCAGAGTAATTGTGTGGTTATAAAAGCTTCTCATTAAGGGTAGAATTGTAAGTTTAAGCTAAATTGTTACCAAATTTAGAAATGGGTCATTCTTTTTGGAACAGACCAAAAAGGAAATAGGTTCACATAAACTGAAACAGAGGGAGTATAACATTGAGAAATTTTCATAAAGCACTATCTTTTAGTGGTAATTAGCTATCTATAGATACCATTTGCTATATTACGGATTCTAGATACATTTTCTGTTATTATAAGATGTATTAGATGTATTTAAGCTACTGTATTCATGAATACAGTAGCAAAAATAGGCGTGAATCAGGGAAGTCCAGCTAATCAGTTGTTGTATTCGAGTGTATTCGACTGTATTCATGGCGTGAAACATGGGATTACAGCTTGACAGATTATTGTATTCGACTGTATTCACGGTGTGAAACAGGGGATTACACTGTTTTAAACGGAAAGTGAATCAGTTAACATAATAGACTCCTAATATAACTCAACAAACTCAATTATAACACACAAAATTTGTATTTCCAGTTATAAAAAAGATTCTCAACCGAAAAATACCTCAAAAATATAGCAATCTTCAGAGAAATTATATAATACACCTGAATACATAAATTATATTAATTAAAAAAATATATGAATATATTCATGGCATATAGCGAGACAGTGAATATAATGAAATACATATAATACAGCGGGATACATTGAAATACAATTAAAAAAAAAGACAGTGAATACAATGAAATACATGAAATACAGCGAGATACATTGAATTACAATGAAAAAAAAGATAATGAATACAATAAAATACATGAAAATACAACGTGATACATTGAAAATACATTGAAATATATTAACAGAAATTCAAGTTGCTCAGCCCCAAACTCCGTCGTCTTTGTTAACCCTAATTTCCGGCGACCGCCGTCGAGCAAAAACCCTGAATCTCACTGTTCCCATGCATCCTGTACAGTAGCCGAGCAAAAATTATGGCAAGACGTTGCGTATCGTTTTCGAGGATTCGTCTCTCTACCAGCGATGGACTAGTTCTTCAACTTCTGCGCTTTGCATTATCTTTGACTGGTTTGTATACGGTCAGATTGATTTGTTTGAACTTGTGGGTTTTTTTGGGTCTCGCTATTGTAGAAGTCTTCTAAGATTGTCTTTTTTCTTTTCCTTTCCTATTAAAGTTACAGCCAAAAATAAAAATGGGGAGTTAGAGGAATTTGCTGGGAAGTTGAAGAAGAAACCGTGGGAGGAATTGCGGAGAATTTTGATCTTTCAGAGAAGAAACTTATGAATATAGGTGAGAATTTTGATCATTCAGAGAATGGCGTGTATCAAATTAGAGAGAGATAGAACGTGGAGTGAGAAGTTTACATCAAATACAGTAATTAGTGGCTTAGAGAGAAAGATAATAAATAGCGTATATAGTGGCTTAGAAGTAGGAGGTACCCAAAATTAGATATTTTGCTATAAACATTAATAGGTATCTATAGAATATAATTTTTTTAAATGGTATTTACTTAAAATAAATAAGGTGTTAACCTTTGCTATAGGAAGTAAAAATTCCTATAACATTTATGATGGGCCCACAAGATTTTAGGCTATTCAAAACCCATCGCTCGAATTCATGAAGATATCATGGACAATAGCACCATGAAAAATTGAAAAACAACTTGAATTCCTGTTTTGTGGCCCTAAAACGCCAAAAAAGGAGGAACAATCATAGTGTAACAATGAATATTGTTCATTATCTCATTTAAGACGAGCCTACAAAATTTTAGGCGATTTGGAGCCCGTCGCCCGAATTCATGAAGATGGCGAGGATATCATCACATGAAAAATTGGAGAACATCACGAATTCCTGTTTTATGGCCCTAAAACGACAAAAAAAGCACAATGGTCATGGCAAAGCAATGACTATTGTTCATTATGTCATTTTTTATGGGCCCACAAAAATTTTAGGCTATTTGGAGCCCGTCGCCCGAATTCATAAAGATGGCGTGGACATTGGCACACGGAAAATTAAAAAATATCATGAATTCCTATTTTATGGCTCTAAAATGCCAAAAAATGATGAATGATCATGGTGAAGCAATTACTTTTGTTCATCATGTTGTTTCTGATGAGCCCACAAAATTTTAGGCTATTCGGAGCCCGTCGCTCGAATTCATGAAGATGGCGTGGATAATAACACCATGGAAAATTGGAAAACATCTTGAATTCTTGTTTATGGCCCTAAAATGCCGAAAAAGGAGGAACGATCATGGCGAAATAATAGCTATTATTCATTATGTTATTTTTGATGGGCCTAAAAAAATTTAGGCTATTCGGAGCCTGTCCCCCGGAATTCATGAAGATGGCGAGGACATTA